AGCAGGTGCGTCTTGAGGTGGAAGAAAGGTTCTCCAAAACCATATATGAAGACACCGTGCGAAGAGTTATTAAAAAAGCTGGATATCACAGCCGAGTTGCCCGTAGGAAGCCTCACATTTCAGAGGTGAATAAGAAAAAGCGCATGGAGTTCGCAAATGAGCACGTGTCGAAGCCTGCTGAATTTTGGGACAAGGTCATTTTCTCGGATGAGAGCAAGTTCTGCATTTTTGGCATAAAAGGCAAGAAATTGGTGTGGAGAAAATCTGGTACAGCCTTAAATAAAGAAAATTTAGTTCCAACTGTCAAACACGGCGGAGGAGGAATAATGGTTTGGGGGTCCATGGCAGCTAATGGCGTTGGGAAGCTGGAGTTCATAGAGTCGATAATGGACCAAAAAGGCTATATCCAAGTTTTGAAGGACAATTTGCTCCCAAGTGCCCAGAAGTTGGGGCTGGAAAATGATTTTTATTTCCAACAAGATAATGATCCCAAACATACAGCTCACAGCGTAAGGCTGTGGTTGCTGTTTAACGTAAAAAAACGTTTGCAAACACCTCCCCAATCTCCAGACCTCAATCCTATAGAGCATTTGTGGGACTTGCTCGAGCGCAGAATCCGGCAGCACAACATTACCTCCAAAAGTATGCTCAAGGAGGTAATTTTGCAGGAATAGGAAAAAATAACACCGGCGGACACAAAAAAGCTGGTGGAATCGATGCCTCGACGCCTGGCTGAGGTCCTTCAAAGAAAAGGATACCCAACAAGCTATTAAAAACGAATTTAGTGACATAATATGTTTGAAAAACAATTTGTACGCAGACTTTTGCGGGTCCATTTTTCAAAAAGGTTTCGTTAAAAAATAGAAATAAAATATATTCATTGTTATATTAATATTAAAAAAAATGTAGTTATTAAGAAAAATGTCGAATCTAAGCAAATCAAAAACATTTAGATCAATAAGTTGCATATGTTAAAAGATATTCACAGTTAAAGCTAAAATTTGTCTATTTTTTTGTGTGTACTCAGAGTTATGCGGGCAAGTGTATCTATATATATAAAACAGTTTGTCCTGACTGACTGACTGATTGGTGATCAACGCACAGCCCAAACGGTAAAGGCTAGGAAATTTGGACTCAAGTATCCTTTCATAGTCTAGGTACCCACTAAGAAGGGATTTTGGTAAACTCGAGCTCCAAAGGGGGGAAAACAGGCTCCAACGTTTGTATGAAAAATCTACAGTTTTCATCTGATTAACTTCAAACTTAGTTTGTATAGAACAATTCCAAGAAAAACTGTATACTTGGTTTTTTGATATTTTTTTTGGGGCCTAAATTATGGGAGTTTTCCTGTAAAAAAAAATGTTGGGGCACAAAAGCAAACCGCGTCAACAGCCCACAGCCCGCACGGTAAAAGCTAGGATGCTGAAATTTGGGCTGAAGTATCCTATCATGGTGTAGATGTGCACTAAGAAGGGATTTTGGAAAATTCGAGCTCCAAAGGGGGGAAAACGAGCTCCAAAGTTTGTTTGAAAAATCCGCATTTTTCAACCGATCGACTTAAAACTTAGTTTCTAAAATCAATTGAAGAATACAAACAAAACTGCATACTCAGATTTTCGAAATTTGTGTTGGAGCTTGAATTATTGGGGTTTTAATATTTATTCACTATTTCAAATGAAAAGTTTGTGTTATAAATTTAGTCCGATCGATTTAAAATTTACGTAAATAACTCTACAACTTTGCATTCAAGGATTTTCAAAATATGCATTTTACAAAAGCAGGCCGAACAAACAATACAAAATATCAAACAGTTGGGGACAACTAAGTATACACACACACACACACATACAAACAGCTGTTCGTGTAGTTGCGTGCAAACGATTGAAATAGCCAAAGCAAAATGTGAGACACATCTATGTATGTACTTATGTATCTACATATGTATGTATGTACATTCGTCTTGCACTGACTGAGCAAGAAATGTTAATTAATTGAAAATTATATAACATTTTTAAAAGTAATTTTTTCTTTGTTTAGTGCATTTGGCATTCGGGTTTTCATTAATAACTTTATGCAGCGCAGCAACAACAAATATCAAATAGTTGGGGACATCACATACACGCAACAAGCAACAGTTCGTGTCTATGTGTGCGGTTCTCTACGTACGGTTGAAAAAGTAAAGAGAAACATACATTTGTATGTATGCCTGTGTATAAATATAGCATGTATGTACATTCGTATTAATGTATACATTGGGCAATCGAACACAGTTGTTTGATTAATTATTAATTAAATAATGCTCTAAAAACAACAACAACTGCAAGTCATTGGCTCGCTCTTCTTTCGTTTTGACCATTTAATGTTAATTGCAAAGGCAAAACGCCTAAAGTGTACAGTTACCGTCGCTAGGCAACGACTGCGTAAGCGATAGTAAAGCAGAAACCGAATAACGGAGCTACGCATATTCTGCTTCGCGTTGCGGGCAGATGTATGTATGTACATATATGATTTGTTCTTATTGATCTCAATAAATAAATAGATTTTATTATTTAAGTATTCTGCTTATTGCATTCAAACTTCGATATTTTTATGGTATCGGTGGCTTCAACTATCGAAAGTTTTACTCTAGCAAATTGAGATGAGAATTGTCAGTGCTTTTTGATCGTGGCTCATCGCTGCACGGCATGGACACGTGTGCCGTGTTTCATATTCCGAGTTTGTGCGTGACCGTATTGACTCAATATGGCACGAAAAGACTCAAATGTGAATTTAAAATTAGGATATACCCTTACAATTATTCCCCTTTTTTGCGCATAGTCTATCTTAAAACGTTGCGTTATCTCTATATATAAAACAGTTTGTCCTGACTAATTGGTGATCAACGCACAGCCCAAACGGTAAAAGATGAAATTTGGACTCAAGTATCCTTTCATAGTATCCATCATAGTGTAGGAGCACACTAGCAGGCTTTTGGAAAATTCTAGCTCCAAAGGGGGAAAACGAGCTTTAAACAAGAAAGGAAACCACTCCACAAAAAAGTAATTAAATTAATTAATTAATTTACATTTACATCAGAATCGTGCCTTATGCGTGTTTGTGTACTTGTACATATGTATGTATGTGTGCATTGCGCCTGGTTATATGGCTATAACTTTCTTTCTGATCAACCTATCATAATGAACGGATATATAATTACTAACTGAATGTGTCTACCAAATTTTAGTTCAAAATTCCAAGAATTACGGGAGTTATAGAAAATCGTTAATAGGGGTGAGTGGGGGGGTGGATCAGAAAAAATGAACAAACTCGTCCTTTCTCGGGCTCAGGAGAATCTGTATACCAAGATTGGTTATTCTAGCTCTTATACTTTCGGAGATCCTTGCGTTCATACAGACAGACGGACATGGCTATATCGATTCGGCTTGTCATGCTGATCAAGAATATATATACTTTGTGGGGACTACCAAGCCTCCTTCTGTGTGTTCCATGTGCACTCGCACAAAACTAATATACCCTTGTACCCTTTGGGTACAGGGTATAAAAATATTAGTTATAGTGGTCATGTTCGTTTAACGAAATAGTTTGGCAAGAACAAAAATGTAACGGACTACTGAACAATTTTTTGTCAAGAACAGAAAATGTTCATTTAAATACCTTAAATGCCTTCCTATGGATAGGTTATGCACACACAAAATAAATACAATTGGAAACATTATATTGAGCCGGGTTAAGACGGGCAATACCTGCTAGTATAGATATATTTCAACAGCCATAAAAACCCTAACGAGAGCTCTCGATGGTCATGGGTGCAATTTGTGAACGACGTATGATATATGCATATATCATCATAGACATATCATCATAGACCCTCACTCCCCTTTTTGCTCCCCCTTTTTTATATATATATATAAACATATGTTTATCTGTATGATTGAATACTTTATTATTTCCTTTTTTTTTTAAACAGCGACTTGTCGCGCGCTACTGCAATTGGCAATCTCCCTTTACAACTTCCGTTTCATAAAGTATCTGAATGTGTAGTTTAAATATGTAGTTTAATATGTATTTAAAATTTTTATTAAATGGAGCGCCAAGCTCTGATTTGGTGCCGCTTCTGCCTTTTTTTTTATGTTTATTTATATGTACAAGTATGTATTTTAATTGTATTCTTTTCTGTTGCAGAAAATAAACTGCCTGATTGTTGCAGCTCAAACGCAAACAACAGGCACGGCGCGTGGCCAAGGAACGGACTCACCGGCTGACTCCTCCTCCTCTGCTGATGGCGCAGACTGACGTGGTTGCTGTTGCTGGTAGTGGCGCCGCTATTGCTGCTACCGATGGTGGTGTCGGATCTGCTGCTGTCGCTGTGGCTCCTGCTACGATGCAGCTCGTGCTGCTGCTTATGATGGCAGCTGCAGCTGCTGTGCACGGTTCCACCGCTGTCCAAAAACTTGGCGATATGCCGAAAAATCTATATGCCAAGGAACAAAAGGCATTTAAGCATGGATCGGCACATTCAAGTGGATATATAGGTACGCATACATCGGCTTTAGTTTTGCCTTGTATCTATATCTTTTTTGCTCACCTTCGAACGGCTTCTGGTTCTTCCCTTCCTTTTCAAAACGTTTTTTCTTCCTTATATTTCCAGGTTTCCGCACCGCTTTCAATCCACAAAAAACACACCGCCTCGTGAGTCTGCACGGTCGCCCCAAAAAACAGGAATGGCGTGTTGCGGCTTGCCTTTTATAGGCCGGATGTCGTACCTCTGCCGATTCCTGCGTCCTTGCGCATCCGTTCATCACGGCCTTGACGTTTCCCCACTTTGGGGTGCCATCGGGACACAACCCTGCGCCTGCGCGACTGCAGTTGCCACCCCGGTGCCTCGTTCGGTACTGCTAGATGGCGCTGCAGTAACTTTATAAATTTTCGGCACCTTCCGTAGCGCTGCCACCTTTCTTCTTTGTGCCCAGCCCGATGCAACAATTACACAACAAATTATGACCTCCCAACAAAACATGAAAAATGTTCGATGTTTGGAAAAATATCGATGGATCGACGACGCGTCGGAAGCAAAGTAACATCGATGCATCGTGTTAAAAACATTGTCGATGCTCGATACATCAATGTTTTTGTGCATCCCTAACTTACATCCTAGTCAATATTTTAAAAAGATTACTTACCATGAATAGAGGATTTTTTCACACATCTAAATGGAGGAAGTTTTCGTTTTATGCTGCCGGAGCAACTACTTGTGGATTATTTTTAGGAAATTATGTACCGCACACATTTGGCTTGCCATATCTTCTGCACTTTGTACAATGTTATGAGAATGGCGTGGAGCGTGCAGTTCCGAGCATTGTACAAACACGTCTAGAAAAAGCCCTTGACATGTTGCACACGGAGCTTCACCGAAAATCACTAAGGTCCTTTACTGTTTTTGGCTTTGATTTGTATTATGCCGGTTCGACCAAATATCGCTTTGGCGGCGCACTTGGCATTCCTGTTAATTATGGTTACACAAGCCCTGATGATATAAATTATAGTGAAATACGTTTTCGTAACAAAAAAATCGAGTGGAATTCGCCCAGCAGTAAACTGTTGCAGCAATCACTAGTTCTAGATGAAACGGAACAGATATTTGGGTTCTGTAAAACGGTTCTGCAGCTAAAAACAAATTATGTCCTACTAAACTCAATTTTCCCAAGTCTTTCTTTTCTTATGGTCTATAGTGTCGGACACTATCTTAACCTACGTCTGAACTTGTTTGCGCGTCACATTAGCGTAAGTTCCAATATATACAAAGTAACAGGAAACGCTACCATCTTCCTTACTTGTAGGTACGCATGGTGATGTACACCATTTTGGCACTATTTGGCATTGGAAGTTGTACTTTTATGAAGGATTACAATCAGGTCAGCACGGACGTCGAGATTGATAAATATTTGGCTACGCTAGGAACAGATTTAGTGGCGGCTGGCATGCGATATTATGATAAGCAATTGAATAAAAACATTGCTCTTCGCCAGTTGTCTGGTGATGATTCGTATACGGCATTAGGCAATGAAAACTACGTGCTACGTCAAAAGTCAATGCCATTAACTGCTCGGAAATTATTTTTTGAACAAAAATGGCATGATCTTCAAAAGGAATTGGCAAGCTCAATCAAGACGGATCTAATTACTGAAGGATAACAATCGTTTTAAGATTAACGCTGGAATGTATGTATTTGCAATTGTTCAAGTGACTAGTTTCGCTTAATACAATTTGAAATATTGTTGATGTCCTCGATTCTGTTAGAAATTCTGTTCTCCAATTACGTCGCTAACAGTAGCAACCAATCGACGCGCATGCTCTGCGGCACAGGTCGCCGTAACCAAGCCCAAGTGGATGCAAAATAGCTCGTAGGTGCGTACCTTCTCCGTGTTTAATTTAGGAAAATAAACCTCGGCCAAGTCATTGTAGTAGTCCAGAGCACCTTTTTCAGCAGAAATTGTTAAACCATTATCACCGATACCCAGGCCGTTTGATGAAAAATGCTTTTGCAAGTCAAAGGTAGACTTCAAAATTTTACTCGATTTGTCCTCGAACCAGAGGAAATACGAAAAGTGAAACGTTTTGTCTTTCCACATTACTGTTTTTTGGCCTTGCTTCATATACCTTCGTGTAAGTTCGACCATTGCCGAAATCATCTTAGGTACTACTTGGTTGCTTCGAAGATCGGAAGCTAACATTTGGCCAGTGCTGCGATTAACATATATGAAATGCAGCAAACCGGGAAACTCCTCCAAATACGCTTCAATAGATATGTTGCGTTTTGCTTTAACTGTTAGAAATTCTGCGATTTCTAGAAGCTTCGATTCAACAGTAGCCGCTACTACAGGCAGCTGGTCAAGTTTTACATCCGAACTATCGCAGCAGATCAGTGTAAAGAGGTGCTTTAGCTCAACGATGAAAGAAGGCATATTCGACTCAATCCGCAATATTATTTCGCGTTCGTGAAATTTAGAAAATTCTATGTACATCTTACGCAGGCTCTCCCACTTTGTCGTAAACTTTTTAATGCAATTGTCTAGTTCCTCGTGCTTTACTTTTAAATGCCGCTTCAGTATAATCAAAGTTTGGTTTACCAACGACTCAAGTTCGAGGTTTTCAAAATTTGTTTTTATAGCATCAACATCACCTTGTAAGAAAACGGTCATGATGTTATGCGTCATATAAAAGAGGTCGTACAACTGGCAGGTCAACTGGATGTTGGCATATTCGATCACTTGTACCAGCAACTGGTGCACATGGACCCGTGATATATGCACAATACAAGGCACGCATCCAGAATTAACGTCGTGTGATGCGCCCTGCAGAAAAACTGCTACAGTTCGCTGAGTTTTTTTCGACTGTAAAGCACGCGAAATTGTTGCAAGAAATATTAGATCGGCAGCGGCTAATGGCAACGCTTGGTGCGTACTGTTGAATGACACAAGTTTGTGGCAGACCAAGAAAATGACATGCGCCCGTTGATAACCAGCATTCCGAAGCTGATCTAAGGTTTGCTCAAGCGTTGTGTGAACGGTGTGCATAAGTTCCATGTTAATTAACAGTTTAGGAATTGCCTCAACTATGTACATTTGTTCTTCTTCCAATAGCTTGGCTTCGTAAAAGTCAAGGCACTGCGTCAATAGCTCCAGTTGCGTGCTGCCTGCCTGTGGGCCAAAAATATTGGCTCCATAAAAATAGCGGGTGAGTGTAATTGCAAAGTCAAGTTTGCGGCTTAACTGATGCAAAGGCATCTGGCCTATTTGCAAAAAATTGAATCCAAGGAGTTCCCCAAAAACCATATTGAAATCGTTCTTGCATTGAAAGCTGAAGAATTGCAAATATTAACTGATGTATTGATATGCGATTAGGGCTATACTTACTTTATGTATGTGTTGTCAAATTGACAATGCATAATGCGTTGTGAATTTATAATGGGACTAAAAATTTGCAATAAGACGTTGCTATCCAAATTATATGTGGACGTCGGGTTGCCTTTGGATGGATGAGGTAGCAATCCCTGCATGACGGCCAATTCAACAATTTTCCTCTTGAGTAAGCTGTTAAGATTATGGTACACAACATCATTGGCACTATTGAAGACAATCAATCCGTTCATGTTATACACATTAGCTTGTAATAAAAAGGTTGTTAGGTATACACATAAATAACAATGTATATATTTACATGATATTAATTTAAGGTTTGGTATCGATACTATCGATAGTTTTAAGAAATCGATTAGTGGACGTCTTCAAATCGGTGGCATATTAATAGTTTGGAATTCCATCATATTCATGGGTGCCACAGAAATCTCTTTCGCCCTACCAATGCAGCTGCATTTGCAGATCAGCCGCTGCTATGAGAGGGAGAGCGCTGCCAAATTATAATGTTAATTGACGCAAGAGAGCGAGAGCGCTGCCAAATTATAATGTTAATTAGAGCAAGAGAGCGGTGCACAAGCAGCCGAATTAAATGATGTTGTGTTACAGAGGTTTAATGCAAACGGCAAACAATGTTGTGTTATGACCTTACGTTAAAAGTTAGCAATTGTTAATGCTATTTGGATGACTTCGATGCCCCTGCGCCAAAAACTATATTGAAAACACTAGCATCCAAAACAACCGCACAATAATGATGCCCACTTGGCCACATCACATTTGGCTGAGTTTAGTCTTATTTTGTGACTCAAACGAAAGTTACAAATAAAATACATATATAATTGAAAATCGAAAATTTGAATGGTAATAAATTGCCATTTAACTATACAATACGATCCAGCGAATCAAAATGTAAGAACATTATTGTAATTTCTGAATTCAATTTCAAATGTTTTTTTTTTTTTTTTGCTGGGGAAAACATACAAGTAGATCGTCAAAACAGGATACAATTTTTGTCCAATTTATGAAAGCACACCCGTCATTGCGCAAAATTCCAAATGATGTTATAAAAAATGTTACAAATAAATTTAATATTTAATGAGCAACATAACTAGGATTCATTATTTCGCCAAAGTGGGATTAGATGCGCTTCTTAAACATTGGCTTTGTATTTTCTCAACAATTAATTAGCATTTACGCAAATTCTTATTTTTGTAAATGGCATATTTTTTATTTATTTAAATAAGTACATTACAGAATTAAAAACAATTAGTCAGTCAAATATAAACGTCGACAGTCACAGCCGCATCAAACGGATGCATGACAGGAAAAAGTTTGAGGCGCATGGCATCCGGCCTATAAAAGGCTGGTCGCAGAACGCTAAACCGTTTTTTTGGGGCGATTAAAGAAGTAAAAGCCAGAGCAAATATAGTGCGGAGTGTTAAATGAAAGAGGTAAGATTGGAACAAGCGATGTAGATGCGTTGTGAACCGACAGCATCCACCAAAAATGGCAACAATGGTGACAGCGGCCATTGCAAACGGCAGCAACGGCGACATACGCAGCACTCCAGTAGGAGCAGAAATAGCTGCATCACCAGCGTCCCCAACGGGGATGGCATCGCCATCATCACCAGCAGCATGAACCAGAATCATCAACGGCAACGCTAGCTGCAACGTGGCAGTAGCAGCAACAACATAGGTCGCAGCAAAAGCGCCCGCCCGAAGAGCAATAGCCCATCATCAGCAACAGGATAGACACAGTCGGTGAGTCCGTTCCGTGGCTACGCGCCGTTTTTTTTATATAAGCTGCACCAGCAAGACAGCGCTCCTTTGCGCCGTTTCCGACCAATTGCGACAACAAGGCAGGACTCCCACGCGCCCAACCAATTTATCTACGAAAAAGATAAAATATATAAGTACATATAAATATACATTCATATTAGGCAGGAAAGTGGCACCGAATCAGGTGCTTCGCGCTATTTCCTTTTCTCCTGTTTAAGCGACCAGAAAATCATATATTATATGTCCAAGTCTAGATGCAAACTCGCATCTCAAAATTCAAACACTTCATTGTTTCAAACATGTTGCGACACGAGTGAGTATATGACATCTCATCAACGCAAATTTTTAGTTTCATTGATATTGGTCAGATAATATAAGCAATAATAATAAGCAAAAATAAGACACATATTATTCTGCTACTCCAGCATGATACCAACAATCACTGCACTGCACACATAAAGCAGTAAGTTAACACCAGCATACTTAAACTCACGATCAATGCTTGCTCATCATTATTGTGAAATCACCAGCAGATTAGCTTGCGTAGCTGAGCGGTGTCAGCATACATTCGATTAAGAAGTGATTGGGCAATGGCCAATACATAGAAACGGTGAACCACGAAGGTCCACTGAAGCAGCAGGGCCACAAGTACCATTCATTAAACGGACCACGAGTGTCCACCCAAACATAAAACCGGACCACTGGTATCCCGCCTTGATAAGCGCCCTTTAACTCGTCAGGACCACGATCGTCCTGCCAATTCGCACTACCGCACGTGTGCGAATAAACAGAGACGTTTGAAGCCTTAGGGACAGTTAAAGCTTTCCAAGTGACCGGTGAGACCTATTCAAAGGCCTTAGAAAGAGCGGGTATATTACAACAAATGCTTAATATTTTTTGACACATTAGCACAGATGCTTGACGTTCCGTCTATGAGCAAGCCCCCATCTTCAGCTTTGATGTCAATCATAGACACTGTATCAGCCATCTTCGAGTCACTCCTGTCTTTGGGGGATGAAAAATAAATTGTCAATGCGTTGTTGATACACATCGTCTTCTCGAAAGTAGATTACGATAGTTTACCACTATGGTCGGAGTGTGTCACTGTACTTAACAGGCGGTACCAACACTTGACTGCTGAAGAATCCTCAAAGTCAAAAGGCAAGCCAAGGTTTGAGTTTCCATCGAAAAAGGCCACTAAATCATCGTTTTCTTGCTCCAAGGCCGAAGAGAAATGCTCTTTTTGTGGAGCCGATCACCATATCTGTAAATGTCGCGGTTTCAGTGCGACTCCTGTTTTAGAGAGGTGTGCTTTTGTTAAAAGCAACCAATTATGCATTAACTGCTTGATGCCAGGGCATAGAGTATTTTTTCTTGTACATCGTCAAAGTGTATGGTATGTTCTCGTCTGCATTACACTTTGGTTCATAAGTATTCAGACCCTGATCAAATGCATAGTGTGGCTTCTAATCGAGAGCATCAGTCTCAATAACTTGTCCGTTGTTGAAGCTTCTTCACATCCTGCACACGCAACAGTTTTTTCATAAGTCAACTCTTACCAGTTCAATGCTGATTTTTGGGTGCTTAGTTCAATTTCTAAATAGCAGCCCGATTGCAATTTGTCAAGCAAATAGTGGCAAATCCCAGCCAATCTCGAACTAGCCGACCCCGAGTTTTACAAGCCCCAAAGAAGTGACTTGTTGCTTGGCGCTGACTCATTCTTTGACCTTTTATGTACTGGTAAAATAAAACTTTCAGGCGGTGCGCCATTATTGCAGAAAAGTCTGTTTGGGCGGGTAGTATCGGTAGTAAATGCACAATTGCATGTGAAGAAGATTTCGACAAGCGTGTACACACATTGTCATCAGATCGTTTGGAAGTCAGTTTGCCATTAAAAACCGATCCTCAGGTCTTAGGCTCATCATTTGACATTGCCAAACGACTATTTCTATCGCTAGAACGCAGAGTTATAAAATCTCCCTCGCTCCAAAAGATGTATGTCGATTTTATGATCGAATACATCGAGCTTGGCCATATGACTGCCATAAGAAAAAAAATTCCACAGGGACTACAGTATTTCATACTGCATCAGCATGGTCGTAGCGAAGGGGGGCGCAAAGCGGGCAGGTGCCCGAAAGAACGAACAGAAAGCAGCGACGTCGTAGAAGACGTTGGCGCTGCAATGTCGGGCGTCGCTACGAACAGCGAAGCTATTTACCATTTGCTTCAACAACAACAACAGTTATTTGAACGCTTGGCAGTACACGAAACTGCAACAACAACAACAACGACCACCACCAACAATTAATTGAACGATACAATCGCCCACGGCATATTGTAAACTCTTTGTTGGATGTATTTTTTGGTTTGCCTACAACTACCAGAAGTGATGTATCCATTCTGCGAAGGGTAACAGATGGTGCTAATGAAATCATACGGGGTCTGGATGCAGTTGGTCGAACTGGACGCGATTGTTGGATCATACACTTGCTTCTTACGAAGATCGAGTTTGAAAAGCGTCGCAAATGGATAGAGGAAAGCCGTGAACTTGAATCGCCAACTATTGATGAGTTCTTCAAATTTCTGGATGCACGTTGTGAAGAATTTGAGCTAAGTCAACGTGAAACTGTGCCTGCGTCGAAGTTTGCACAAGGTGACAGACCACAGCGTATGTCACGCACACTGGTTGCTGTACAACCAAACACTTGCTTTAAATGCAACTCAAAGGAATATATGCTGCACGCCTGTCCACAGTTTCTTGGCTTAACTGTTGAGCAGCGCCGGGCCTTTGTTAAATCAAAATCGTTATGCTTTAATTGCATAAAACCTGGACATTTGTCATGTGAGTGTGAATCAAAGTATACTTGTAAACAGTGTTCTGGTCGTCACCATACACTAATCCATGCACAAGCTACTAACTTTCAGCACATGAACAGCATGACCCAAGCGAAGGTGGAGGAACAGCGTAACCAAAACGCTCCTCAAACTACATTGGCAACCACAAGTCACATAGCCCGCACGCAGGGCATGGTCAAGCCAACATGCGCGCATGGCGCTTCTGCAACTACTACAAAGTCGCAAGGGCTGCATAAAGGAACACTGCCGACAGCTTTCGTGTACGTTCAAAATGCACAGGGGTCGTACACAATCTGTCGCATCTTACTGGACACTGGATCGGAGCTGTCATACATATCGGAGCGTTGCATCCGGACTCTTGGAATTGCACGCACATCATCACGCATTTTGGTTTCTGGGATCTCAACGATCAAAGCTGAGGTCACTCGAGGCTGCTGCACTATACACGTGAAGTCCCGAGTCTCACAATACATCCTAGATGTCACAGTGCACGTGCTGGGCAAAATAACGTCCCCATTGGATAGGCATCACATTAATTCATCGACACTCAAGATGTTCGATGGTATACAAATGGCGGATCCTGACTACAATGCTATGGCCCCAGTAGACACTCTCTTGGGCAACGATTACGTTTGGAGCACC